TTTAAGTTTGTTTTTAAAAAATATTTTCAATTTCAACAATTATTTTCTACTCTAGTAAAAATAAAAGAAATTTTTCAAAAACATTTTTCATTCATAAATCAAACACTAAAAATCTTTTTCGAAAAATATTTTCTACTCACCAACCAAACTTGAGAAAATAAGTCAAAAATCAACTTGTTTTCGAAAACATTTTCTAGGAAAACATTTTCCTTCATACCAAACACACCCTATATCTATGATGTAGTACTTATTGATTTTCAATAGAAGATAGTTTTATCTTTGTTATTTCTATATTATTGTAGTTTTAAAAAATTTAATTTCAATATTATGCTAATTACCAATCCGATTATGGAGATTACTTCTTTACTTCCTCTTCTGTTTAGTTTTAGCAGCAATAAGTTATGTACGTGGAATTTCATAAATATATGATGGAACCACATTTTTGACTGTTGTCTCTTATTTCTCTCCTATTACTAGCGCTTTCTTCTTTGCTTTATATAGTTAATTACAGCTTAAGTGAAAGATAATACATATTTCTTATTTTTATCGTGTTTTATCTTTTTGAAAGTAGAATTAAAAATTCATCCTTCTTACAAAATCAACTAACAAATTTTAAAATGTGCAAGTTAAATGTGATATTAACGAATGTTTCTTTTACAGTTTGTTCCCTTTCTTTTATAGTAAAACCCCTAACAACAACAATCATAAATTAAATTCGTTGGCATTTCGGAAATAAAACTTATTATAACCTATTTGAATTGACTTTTGATTTATGATTTATAAGTCAAAACTTATAAATTAGAATTTTTAACTTTTATGACTTTTAGTTTATTTTTGCTTAAAAATTAGTGCTTATAAACACTTTTTAACTTTATTTGAACACTTCAAAACTATTTAAAAGCTATTTTCGCTTAAAAATATCTAAAATAATTCAATCTAAATGAATATTTGAGAATATATTAAGCCTTTCATTCATTTCGGACATTTAATGATCCACCCTATGGAAGTACCGAACTTTTATCTTTTTAGCATAACAAAATACTCTCTCGAGTTCAGATGAGTACAAGTGAATTATGGAATATTATATATATTTTTTAAAATAATATTTATTTTATAATCATTATTTGGGATATCAAAATAGTTAAAATCCTATTAAAAAGAAGGGTAGTTTTGCAATCAAATTAATACATATTTGAATTTTTAAAAATTCATTCATTCATTTTGAATCGTAAAAAAAGTGGAAGGTTCACTTGTATTGAACTAGAAAGAATACAACTAATGATTTAGCAAAATAAAATCTCAAAATAAATACTATGTCTAATAATACTTGTCTACTATTAACTTTACAAACTTCTTAAGAAACTATAAATAGAAGAGTGTTTTTACTATATCACCTTTTGAATATAATAAATACAATATCTTGAAAAATATAATGAGAAAATGACTATAATTAATGATAAGGGTATATTAGAAATAAAAGATAAAATTATCCGTTGATTTATATAGTAGACACGTATTGTTGGACATTCCAAAAATAATATAGTGGACAATTATTATTAGACGGAGGGGGTATGCTATAGATATTCAAGACAAAAATAGTAATTACTTCCCACTATTTCCTCCGTTTACTTCTAATTGTTATGATTTCAATTTTTAGAATTAAATTATAAAAGCGATGTATTTTTTCATTATATTGATATATAAAAAGTTATAATTGATAGTACTTTTCATATTATTTATTTAAAAACTATCGAATTAATATAATCTAATTTAAATTTGAAAATTACTTAAATTAAGCTGTGACATCACCCCAAAAAAAAAATGGACGGAAGGATATAAAATAACTTCCTCAGTTGTATCTTCAGCAACACACCATCATTCATCTTTTCCGGCGAGAATAGTCCATTCTCGCCCCGACGTTCGCCTCTGCCATTTCGTTCCGTTCTCGTCGGTGTTCGCTTTCCTCATTTCAACCAATTCTCGCTGTTGTTTGCTGCCGTTATTCCTGGTTACTTTGCTAGAAAAATGAAAGTTGATGGAGCAGAGCTGAATCTTAAGGAAATCTGGAATGAGATTGTAGAAGATCTCTCAAATAATCTGTTGAGAACTTGCGAATTTGATGAATCTAAGAAGCTGCATAAACCTACTGAAATGGAGCTGGAAAATGTAACAATGTGGCAGCAACTGCCGGATGAAATTTGGCGCGATATTCTACTTAGGGTTAGTACTCTGGATAAACTGAGAAGTGCAGACAAGGTGTGTGCTTGTGGAGACGCTTGTTGAAGGAGCCATTTAGCTGGAACATGATCGATTTGAGAGATTCAAGGTGCATTCCCCTCAAAATATGAAAACATTTTTTCATGTTGCTGTGGATCGTAGCCGAGGCGAATGTACTGAACTTTACTATGCATTTTGTGGGTCAAATGATCTGGCATATTTAGTGGAAAGGTATAATCTGAACTTCTATTTATTGATTGGGAAGACAAAATAATATAAATTTGCATTGAGTGATTGCATGTATTGAATAATGTATATAGCTTTCCCGAGTAAAGAAGTGAATAGGAGCTGACAGCTAAAGAGCCAGCTAGAATAGGCAGTTATAAGGGATTAGTTAGTTTGGTAATTAACGGTAGTTAAAAGGTGGTTAATTGAACTATATATTTTGCCAAATTATATATATATATATAGAGATGAAAGTGTTGTATTCTGTTCATGATTGATATTTTGCCAAATTATATATATATATATATATATAAATGAAAGTGTTGTATTCAGTTCATGATTGATGTAATAAGAATTGATCTTCTCCTTCCAGTTTTCCTGTTCTCTTTACAATGAGCTTCCTTTTCATTGCTCCAACTACTGTTTTGGCACTAATATATTTTTACTAACTTTATTCTACAGGTGCAAAGGGTTAAAAAGGTTGTGGCTTAGGGGTTGGGCAGGAGATTGGGGTATTCCTATCTATTCTTGTCTGATCAAAGTGGCTCCAAGATTGTACCACTTGGAGGAGCTGATTCTCCAAGATTGTTTTACCAATTGAGGCTTTAGGTGTACACTGTCCCAGATTGACATCGTTCTTCCTGAGTCATTTCGATGTTATGGAGTTTGAGACCGAGGAAGAGAAGAATGAGGATGCTTTGGCTATTGCAGCCCACTTGCCTTTACTATGCCAACTTCAACTTATCGGCAATGCTTTGACTGTCTGGGGACTTGAGGCAGTTTTGGTGGGTTGTCCTAACTTCAAGTCCCTCGATTTGCGTAGATGTCTTGGTCTTGACCTTTCGGGACCTATTGGAGATAGGTGTAGAAGAATGGCGGACTTTCGACATCCTTTTGACTCGATGAGTGATTTCATGTTTCTGGTTTAGAGGGGTTGTTGTTGTTTTGTCGAGGGATTTATACATGCCATAGATGAATTCTTTCGAAGCCCATCTAAACACTCTTATTGTATAGTTGAACACTGTTGAATACTCTTTTTGCATCATTTGTCACCTTTTAGCCATCTTCTTGTATGTAATATGCACTTGCTTAAACTTGTCAGAGGAAATTTCTTGCATCATTTCACACTTACGACGACATTGAGCTACTTCATTGTTTGTACTTCTTTGCTGAGTTTATATAGCGCCTTGATCGATCTATTGTGTTTCTCCAAATCTTGATTTGAGTGGTGATTGTTAATGGTAATTTTGTATTTTTTTTTATTCTGAATTATATTAGGGATTTCTCCTCGTGGTATTCTTGGATCAGAATTCAAAGTCTCTAGTGTTAGGATTTCTCTCAGATGTTCTCATTTAAATCCTATAAGGATCCAGTCTCTATTAGAGCATGCATGTCTACTCTGTTCCGGAAGTGTATGGAGGTGGTTCAGTTGAGCAATAGAATTCTGATCATGAGCAACTAATGAAAGTGTAAACTTTCTTTTGACATTTATATGAATGTGCTTGTGAATGTTTTACTATTTTTATTATTACAGGAACAAGTGATGTGCATCATAAATGTTAAGGTAGGACCTGTTTTCGTTCTCTTGGAAAATATAGATTAGTGTCGTGGCTTGCTTGAATAGGCAGAAGTTGTACCTGCAATGTGATCTTGCCCTGTTTTATATTTGAAATGTCACTTTTTAAGTTCTAATCCTTTTTATCTTTGCTTTAAATGTTATACACATTGATGCTTCAGTAGTCAGTCAGTTTATAAGAGGAGTTAAGGAAGCAGAACTTACCTTGCATGTAACTACATAAGGATGACAAATTTGCACCTATATCTGTCATGTTAGCTTCTGAGACACTGAGATTACTAAGAGACATTACATAAGAGTTCTGTTATAAGTTCATCATGGACAAATGTACATCCCACTTTGACTGATGAGCTTGAGAAAGAAGCAGCTACAATATGGATTAGTGACATGCTTGCTCTAGCACTACAAGTTGATCATACACCACAAATATTTTTTATTTTCAAGCAATTCTCTGTATATAAAATCTCTGTAAGTGTGAAGGTCTCTAGCTTAACTTTTCTGTTAACTAGTGATTGGGGAAGGATCGGGTGTCTTACTCTTAGGAGAACTTGAACAGGCAAAGGTATGCTTCCACTTAACCAATATGCATCTGATTTTGTGGAGTTATTTTGATCCATTCAGAAGGTAGTCAATTTGATTGTAGCTGTGTTGTGTTTTTTTTCCTGATAAACTCACAGAAGAGAAAGGCTAAAATATGTACCAAAATAATAAAAGCTAGTACATGAAATATTTTTTATACATTTTTATTGTTAACATACATAAATATTTGTATGAAAATTCAGTTCTAATACAAATATACTACAGAGAAGGAATTTTTATGAGGAAATCGAAAATCAAATGGATTTTGCTGTGAATATAGTGCGTTTGAAAATTGGAGGAAATGTGAGAGAAGGAGAAAAATATATATTTTTGATAAGAGTAAATTTCGGATATTAAAAAGGAATAAATACAAAATAAAACTGTTTAACTGTATATACCTTTTAATAAATAGGCTATAAAAGGTGAAGTGTGTTATAATTGGTAAGTTTATAGGGTAATATAAGTAAATATTTAATAATATTGTTTTTATAGTATTGATCCCACGTAATTTTCCCTTTTCGAAATCCTATACGAAAAGGAATAGTAAACCTAATCAAATTAGGAACTAACGCGCACACAACTATAAAAGGGACTCAACACACTCACTTTTTCATACTTATTTTCTTTGTCAATCTCCTCTCTTTTTTTTCCTTCCCTTTTTGTGGCATGGAAGAAAGCCTAGAGTACCAAAAGAAGAGTTGGATTGCTCTAAAAAAGAGCATAAATGGGCTGCTCAATAAAATCAATAAAGCCAACATAAAACACATCATTCCTGAATTGTTTGAAGAGAATTTAATTCGTGGTAAGGGCTTGTTTTGCAGATCAATTATGAAATCACAATTGAATTCTGCTATTTTCACAGATGTTTTTGCAGCATTGATAGCCGTTGTTAACACAAAATTCCCACAAATTGGTGAACTTCTGTGTAAGAGGATCATTCTGCAATTGCGGAGGGCCTATAACAATAATAATAAACCTCAGATGTTAGCATCTGTAAAATTTATTGGTCATCTTGTCAATCAGCAAGTTGTTCACGAACTTGTGGCTTTGGAATTAGTTACTCTTTTACTCGAGAAACCTACTGATGATAGTGTTGATGTTGCCGTTGGTTTCGTTAAGGAATGTGGTTCGATGCTTCAGGATCTGTGTCCCTTAGGGTTGCACGCTATTTTTGAGAGATTCAGAGGAATACTTCATGAAGGAGAAATAGATAAAAGGGTTCAGTTCTTAATTGAAGACCTTTTTGCATTGCGGAAACACAAGTTTCAGCCAGCTGTTCCTCCAGAACTTGACCTTGTTGAGGAGGAAGATCGATTAACACATGAAATCTCTCTCGGAGACAAAGTGGACGAGCAAATTGAATTGGATGTTTTCAAGCCGGATCCTAATTTTGTTGAAAATGAAAATAAGTATGAACAACTACAGAAGAGGATTCTAGGTGGTGGTGATCAGGACGAAGATTCTGAGGATGACGACGAATCTAAGGACGAGGACGAGCAACAGATGGAAATTGAAGATGAGACAGAGACAAACTTGATCAATCTTCGGAGGACGATTTACTTAACGATTATGTCAAGTGCTGAGTTTGAAGAAGCAGGGCACAAGCTGTTGAAAATCAGACTAGAGCCTGGTCAGGAGATGGAGTTATGCATAATGTTATTGGAGTGCTGCAGTCAGGAGAAGACTTCTCTCCATTACTATGCACTTCTGGGGCAGCGGCTATGCATGATCAACAAAGTTCACCAGAAGAATTTTGAGAAATCATTCATGCAACAATACTCGATGATCCACCAACTTGAAACTAATAAACTGCGTAATGTGGCAAAGTTTTTTGCTCATTTACTAGGCACTGATGCACTGCCTTGGCATGTTTTGGCTTATTTAAGATTGACAGAAGAGGATACTACATCTTCTTCTCGTATATTCATCAAAAATTTATTCCAGGAGTTGTCAGGGCACCTTGGCATCCGTATGCTGAATGAGCGTCTTAGTGACCCCTCTATGCAAGAGTTGTTTGAGTCAATATTTCCAAAGGATAGTCCTAAAAATATGAGGTTTGCTATCAACTTCTTCACATCCATTGGTCTGGGTGGGATAACTGAAAATCTGCGAGACTATCTGAAGAACATGCCAAGGCTTATCTTGCAGCAAGACAAACGTGTTTCCAGATCAAGTGAATCAGTTGATGATCGTCCAAGGAAGAGGAGGAGAAGTTAGGTAGTAAATTGCTTTTAAAGTTCTAATATGTGCCAATTGGAATTTTTTTTTACTTTTTTGGGTTCTGAGTTCTATTATTTCTCTCTGTTTTGGAGGTTAGATGCTCTTTGATTTCTTTCTTTATGTACATATACTGTTAATGAGAATGAGTACAACAAACATGTATTGATCTTTTAGGAAATCAACGAGTTACATTGGTCTAGAAGAACTGTACAAATATTCATTGATGATACTGTCAAAAAACTGAGACGTGATTATTTTCAGCAACAATATATGTTGAATGGTAATGGACATGTTACATAAACTGAACTGTTACTGCTTGATTAAAATTTCAAACTCATACCATTTGATTTTGAATGTCAATTGTAACACGAAATTAGCCGTGAATTCAGCTCCTTCCTCGTTTAGGACAGTAGTCAAAAGCAAAATCCTTATCCTCAAAACATGCACTATGTTATATAAACATGCAGGATGCAGGGGAGACATCAAATATCACATTATATTAAAACCAAAAGCAAATTAATTAATGGCACAAGTGGTTAGTACTGAGATGATAGTCATTGCTGTGATAGCAGTAATGTCCATACTAAGTGCACATAAAGGTGCAGTCAAGTCATTGTTGTCGCTTGTAATGCAGCTTTAAATATACCATTGCACAAAAAAAAGATAACAATTGTGTAGATCATTTCACCTATGTAATATGCCTTGTCAATATTTCTTTGGGTGAGTTGAGACAGGTACTTACCATATGTGGGCACATATCTCATACTCATTGCATTGATTCTTGGCTAATGATCAATGTAATTTGCCCTCTCGGTAGAATTCATGTGCCTACTAACATTGGGTATTTGTAACTCCCCACTAGAATGTGTAACAGGTAGTAGTATTTGTAAATCTATATTTGATGAGGTTGGTTTTCACAAAATTGTCACTCACAAGTTGTCATTTTTCTCCCTGCAGACATACTATGTATGTGAAATCAGTCGAGGGAATTTTCCAATTGGCTTAACTACCTTTTGGTCATATTAGAACATGTTAAGAAGAATTACAACACTAAGAGCAATTTACTTTTCTTTTTTATTTTGTGTTTATTCTTTTTACTTTTCTACCAAGTTCCCAAAAAATATCTACTTTTCTCTTTCTCTTAAATTTCTTCCGATTTTCAAATACACTATTTTCACCACAAAATCCATTTGATTTTCGATTTCCCTCTTAAAAAATTCCTTTCTCTGTAGTATATTTGTATGAGAACAGAATTTTCATACAAATATTTATGTATGTTAACAATAAAAATATCCTCTCTTCTAGTATATCCACTAACATGTTATATATGATGAAATACAAAATTCCATGTACTAGCTTTTATTATTGTGTTTATATACAATTAATATAGTTGCCCTGCGTTATTACAACATGAAAACAACTCATGTTTGTTCATTCACGACATCAAATAAATAAAAAATCTAGCAATTTGACATTTAGCGGTTTCACTCAATAAAATATACCACTTTCGTATAATTTATGATAAAGGCTTTTGACTAGACATATTTTTATAGCCATAGCAAATAAAACAATAGTATATCACAAAGAATAAAACATATTTCTCATTTCCAAGCAGATGTGAGATGAGTTATGTATTGGCTGCTACAGTTCATACCTAAGAACAACTAACAGAAGGATGAACCGAATTTCAAAATATCTATAGAATAAAAAAGGTAGTACAGTTAGGAAAATGACTGCACACACTCGTGATCTCCGGTGCCTGCTTTCCTTTCTGATGAACTAGTGAAGATGAAAAGTTCGTTTTCTGGCTTTCGTTGGTTCAAGGGCAACTTGATGAAAATCAACACAACATTACATTCTTTAAGCATGATATGTGCAAGGATTGAATTAGACATTCTTATAAGGAGCAAATAGAATAGATGAGTTGTGTCCTCCAAAGCCAAATGAGTTGGAGAGTGCAACCTTGATATCCAAGCGCTCCTTCTTAGAGCCCACCAGCACATTCATATCCTAATATCATGTTAAGCAACATTAGAACATAGTTAACTAATTAAAGCTGATTAAGATGCAATGGCTTCTTAATCGCAACAATATTAGATAGGGAGTGCAAGCTTGTTCAAAAAGTTGAGCGCATTAATTAACCAGATACATACCAAGCCATTGTCAGGGTTCTCAAGATTGATGTTTGGATGGATCCATCCTGTATGTATGGCCTATGTATAAAAAATTCCAAATAAACATGTATTAGCAAACTTTCATATAAAAACTGAAAGCCAGTGTGCAAAGATAGTTGTTTACTCTAAGCACAAACAGACTAGTAGAAAGTGATTGTGTTCCAACTGCTCTCCTTTGGGAATGAATGCTAGATCACCTCAAGTAAAAGTACATATCAAGACGCAATTACTGCAGATACGGACTTCTTTCACAAACAGTAACTTATGTCAACCGACTAACAAGTCAATAGAAGTAGAAACTACTTCATTCTCCGACGTGTTAAAACAAACTTGCAGATTGCTTCAATACTTGGCATGACAATCTTAAAGCTTTTTTCCCCTGCGGGCATCCAGTACCAATCTATTTACCTAAGAAGGTTTTTATTCTGATGGGAAAAGCACAAAAGATCACAGTGTGGCCTAGTGGTCAATGAAGTGGGTTAAGAACCTTATGATCTCAGGTTTAAATTCCAGCAGAGACAAAAAACACTAGGTGATTTCTTCCCATCTGTACACCTAGCTTGTGCTGTCACAAAAACATATTAGATTACTAATGACTTAATGCCCACTTCAACAGCTAAAAGTTGCCTATTAAGGCCCAACAAATATGTTATGAAGCAAACCAGCAGCAAGCCATCATTCGAAGAAGTTACATTACAACAGCCAGCTATCATTTTGCTAAGTATTGACGACTCTATATATATACAACAACAATGCCTCGATTCAAAACTAGTTACGGTAATTCATAAATATTTTCTGAAATTTTATTTCCAATCATAAAAACATACCTGGTGCTTTCACTTATTAAAAAAAAAACATACCTGGTACTCATGTAATTTTCTGTCTAAATCTTTCATCCCTCTATGGGTTTAGAAGTTCATCTTAAGCTTTTATAAGGTATTTGTATGCAACTATCTTAATATTCATTACCTCTTAACTGTTGTGATGACTTCCACAGCACCAGCTACTTGTAAGAAAACACAACTTTTGTATTTTTCTGTCTAAACCTTTCATCCCTCTCTGAGTTTAAAAGTCCATATTAAGCTTGTATAAGGTATTTGTATGCAATGATCTTAAACTTTATTACCTTGACTGTTGCGATGGCTTCCACAGCACCAGCAGCCCCAAGGAGATGACCAGTCATGGACTTTGTTGAATTAATTTTAAGCTGAAAGGGAAAGAATTCATTATAAGAGAATTAGAGAGCAGTTGCTGAGAACAAGCTATATGAGTACATCTCCTAAAACAAAAATAAAGGCGTATAAGAGCATTACTTCAGGGTTCTTCCCAAAACAATGCAGAATGGCCTGATATTCGTTCAGGTCACCGGCTGGGGTTGATGCAGCATGAGCATTGATATAGTTGACATCTTCACGTTTCACCCCAGATTGAGCCAAGGCCTTTTCTATGCAGAGAACAACTCCACTTCCTATTTTGTAAAGCATATAGAAGAAATCAGTAAGAATACAAGTTTTCCATGCTTTAGAATGGCTATGTACATGATATCAAATCTGAGCTGGAATACCAGCAATACGCTGGTAATTTCCATGTATAAAATTACCTTCTGGATGTGGCTCTATCATGTGATAAGCATCAGAAGTGAAGCTTCCACCCAAAAACTCGGCATATATTTTAGCCTTTCTCTTCTGTTAGTTTATCAGAAAAAAACACAACACAGCTACAATCAAATTGATGAAACCTTCTGAATGGATCAAAGTAACTCCACATTATCAGATGCATATTTCTGCATATTGGTTTAGTGGAAGCATACCTTTGCATGTTCAAGTTCTTCTAAAAGTAAGACGCCCGATCCTTCCCCAATCACAAATCCATCACGGTCCTGCTCCATCAAGAAATGAAATGCAGCTTTAGTAGACAGCAGCAGGGATCTTTAAGAGCAAAACAAAGAAAATGGTTCCCAAGCGGAAATAACAAAGTACTAGCAAACATTACTCACAATTCGAAGATATTCTCTTTTCTTTTCCTATTTAAAGTAAAATATTTACATGTGTAGGAAGTCGCAACAAACTGTACATGTACATGTTCAAGAAGCTCATCTTTAGAAGAAACAACGCTGAAGTCCATGCTTAATCATTCACATAATGACACTTATGCTGATGATTTCAAAATACATCAAGAAATCTATTTTATGCATCAGAAAGCAGAATTTTCGTCAACAGTTGATTGAAATTTGAAACAGCTGAGAAATAGAGAAATTTGATAGCAATACCATATCCCAAGGACGTGAAGCCCTTGTTGGATCACTATTCCTCTGTGACAGGACTCCACAAGCAGTGAAACCTCCCAAGCCTGCCACCGATCACAATTTAAGGATGGAAACTTTGAGAACAAATTATAACTACATTATTCCCCAGATAGTTTTACCATATTTAACTAACCTATAGGAATAATTGCCGAATCTGACCCCCCACAAAGCATCATATCCTGAAATTTCCATGTTATGATATACAAAGTGTCATTATACTTCACATGGTCTGGAAATTACATACTTAAAACGATGGAGTAAGAGTAATTCACCCACTTACTGTTTCACCTCTAATTATATGATTTGCAGCACTTAATATACAGAAGTTACTTGTTGCACATGCAGTGGAGATTGAGTAGCTTGGACCCATCCAACCCTGCAGTTGTTTCAATCAACTTTGAATGACACAGTTCTTTCAACTATTTTTAAAATAAGGAGAAACAGTTCTTTCAATCATATTTTGATCTCATCCAATAAGTAACTTACCAAATCTATTGCAAGCATGGCAGCTCCCATATTGGATGTTGAAAAAGG